GAGATTATATCTGAAAAGCATTATATGTTATCCCGTGAAAATCCCCACCCCTGAAACATCTTCTCAGTACGGATGATTTGAAAGCAACAGCAGCAAAAGCCAGCCTGGAATAAGGGGTGCTGCTAACTGAGACACCCGTGGTAGCCAGGGACAGTTTCTGCAAGGGATGAGGAGTCTGACTTTGCATCTGACCGATCATTCTCCTGCTCTGAATGCCAGAGGCACCTAAAGGCCTCTGCAGCCCCTCAACGATGGTCCTCATTTCTAGTGTCACTGCTTTCCATGCTAATTTACAAACCCTGCTGCTTTTTTCCTCCATGTGCTTATAAAACAGCTGTTCTTCTCACCTTCTCCAGCCTGCAAAATGGCACCTGGGCTTCAAGACTCAAACAAAGCTTTCTCTTCTTGTCTACCACGATGGGGAAGAAAGCTCCTGCAGGCAACATTTTGACCTCAGTTACACTTAGGAAATGCCTTATGCTCCTCCTGGGAGCTGTTTGCTTGACTCTGAACTGGGGCACGGGGAATGGCTTTGTTGCTTATATATAAGAAAGAGCAGAGTCATTCTACTCCTACAGCTGCATGTTCATGCTGAAGGTATTTAGAAGTGTATTTTGTCAGCGCCTCTCACTGAATACACAGCAGACAGAGCTGCTCAGCTAGAAGGTGCCACTTCTGATCTAGCCATATCTCAGAGCACATCACACCACGAGTCTGCCATATCACTGCTTTCTATCTTATCTGCCTACTGCACAGTCAATGGAAAACTCCGCATGCAGCTCCGAGAGTTGCTTGGCCGTCGGGTGCTTGCCAAGTTTCTCTGCGTTTGTAAGCACAAGTTCTGCCTGCGATACCAAGGAAACTGACTTCCCCCACTTTAAGACTCCTATGTGAGATCCCACCCAGTAAAACACAGAGCAAAGAATGAGTCCAAATGCTGGTGAAAAAGGGCAGGTGAAACACCCTTCTCCACCAATCTTGACCGGTTACCTGACACCTAGCTCCTGAGCCCAAGGACCGCCTCGCCAGGAAACCGAGGGAGCACCATGAGAAAGGCAAAAGGAGGTGCTGGCGTAGCGGGTGTTCAGGAGGTCTTGTCCAGCCCTTCCCTCCTCTTATTTCACTTGGCGCTTGTGCACTAGGCTTCAAAAGGAAACTCTTTTGAGGGATGCCTCCTTTATCCTGATCGTGCTATATTGCTATCATGTTGTATCTTCACCAGTGTTGCTAAAAAAAAAAAAAGACAGTTTTAAAAAAGGGGAGACAGCTGAGCTCAGGGCATTCATTCTGAGGCAGGAGATCCCCTCCCCACCGCCACGTGTCCCCAGGGACCTGCCAGTTGTCACCGTGTTCCCCGGTTCACATGTACTGAGAGATGTATGGCCCCGGCCATGTTCTCATCTCGGCTTAGTCTGCGGATTAGGGCTCAACATCATGTTACCACAGTTCACCAAGTTTCCATGAGTCAGCTGAGCCAAGATTTCTGCCCATGTGTGCGCTTCCAGCCCACAGCAAACGCAAGGTAATGCGACTTAGCCTGGTTTGCAGTGAAAGAAAATTAAGCTAAGCTGCATTATTGCACGTTTGCCATCAGGGAAGACAGCACACTCTGAAAAGTCCTGAGGCTCATCCCCCAGGGGCAGTTGTTAAACCATGAGGACTTGGTCGTGTACGACCATTTCTTGTGCTGGTACGCAATACTTCTGCACATAGAGCTCATCCGGCTACAGAAGTTAGACAGTTCTGGCTTACTGTTTTAAGCAGCAGTGTCTAGAAAATGTGGAGGTCATGCTTTATAACAAAGGACAAAATGCCCGAACAATAAGATAAAAAACCTACAAGCTCCTAACAGCAAGATGAACAGCACAACTCCATGTACCTCAGGTACATCCACTGCTGTGAACTCACAGGGCTTCAAATAATGTGGAAATACAGATCTTTCTTCCATCCCTCTCAAACCGTAAGTGCTCACAAAAACACATGCATGCTGTTGCCTTTTCCTTTTCCAAAGCACCCTACAACAAACACAGGCTGCTGCAGATCACACAAGCCATAGTCCTCACTTCACGTCTTCTGGCCCAGAGTTCAGAAAGCTGGCTGGGAATGCTGGATAAAGGGGACTGGCATTTTCCATGGATTCAGCCTGCATGCAGGAGATACTCATTAATTCATTTGGACAACACGTGAGCAAAGGTTACCTCTTTCACATATAACTCATACTGGAGAATGGATCTACGAAACTGAGAGGTGATGTGAAATAGCATGTGCTGCCTGCCATCCTTCCTGCACGGAAATATTGCTAATTGATCGCTTGAAAGGGTCTGATTTGCTGTGCTATTTTATACAGGATTCATTGTTTTGTCTTCAAAAGTTTTATGAAGGCAGTTACGATTGCAAATGTGAATGGCAGCAAAGCAGAAAATTCCAGTCCGAGGCGCAGCACGCGATTGCTGTCCTGCTGGTCTGAGGTCTGCAGATGCTCCTATCACAACTCCAGCTATGGATCACTTTTAAAGTACATGCAGAGGTGGAGGAAGAAAGTGGTAATTAATAATTTAAAACAATACCAATCATCAGTGGTGGTGAAGTAAAAGAATAACCTTCATTCACTCTGTAAATGTTTATACAATATTCTTATCTACAGCTACCTCTTTGGCAGCAGTAGGCTAGTTCTTATTCTTCCAGATTTTGTGAACTGTGGGAAGAATTACATCTCTGCTGGCCTGGGGTCGTGTTGCTGGTTGTGTTTTCAAACATGTGTTGTGCAGTATTAATACATGAAGCAAGCCTGGCCCCAAAGCCCCAAAACTGCTAAGCAAAAACAAATTGAGAGATTAGGTTCTAGGCCAGAAATATCTTATAAAACTAAAAAGAGATGGAATGGAGTCGCTTAAATAAAAGGAAACATTTTTAAAATTTCAGTCGCATGCAACTGCTTTCGCTATGTTAAGAAGATGCAACTGTAGAAGGTGTCCAAGTTGACCTTCAGTAAATGCCAGCTTCTGTAGGTCTGGGCTGGTTTGAATCTGGGTGCCTGCACTGAGCCAGTAGGTTAGAAATTCAGCAGGGTTCCGCTGACATTGGCTAGTCCTGCCCATGCAGTGGTCGTGATGGAGCACCCCGGGTGCGGCTGGGGCGGCGGGACTGGTTGTTCCTGTCTGACAGGGGGTGTGTTGACCACCGCATGTCCACTGACCTTCCTGCAGCAATCCCTAACAGTCTGGCCAGGCTTG